TTTTTCACGATGGTAAGGCTATAGACACAAATAGACAAACAATAGAAGCAAACACAGACCCTCACACACAGACACACAGATACACAGATACACACACACAGACACACAAACACACACACAAGCATACTCACAAACACACAGAGACACACACAATGAAGATTTGTTCAGGAACTTATTGGTATATTCTTTCTATGTCATCCAAAGTTGGCATACCAAAAAATAATTTTTTTTTTATTTTAACCACAAAAATGGACATAGCTTAGTATTTTTAGGCAAATTAGTGTATTTTTGTGGTTAAAATTCAGAAAAAACATACTTTTTTGGTACATCAGCATTTTGTCACAGTAAATGACTATAACAATAAGTTCCTAAACCAATCGCGGAAAATAAAAGTTTCTCAAAAATGACTGAAAATACACACATTTGCCTTGAAATACTTAGCTATGTCCATTTTTGTGGTTAAAATTCAGAAAAAAAATATACTTTTTTGGTACACCAACATTTTGTCACAGTAAATTACTATAACAATAAGTTCCTGAACCAATCTCCGAAAAAAGTTTTTTCTCAAAAATGACTAAAAATACACTCATTTGCCCTAAAATACTTCGCTATCTCCATTTTTTGGTTAAAATTCAGAAAAAATATACTTTTTTGGTGCGCTGACTTTGGATGACAGTGAAATACTATACCAATAAGTTCCCGAACAAATCTCCGAAAAAAAAAAAATTCTCAAAAATGACTAAAAATACACTCATTTGCCCTAAAATACTTCGCTATCTCCATTTTTTGGTTAAAATTCAGAAAAAATATACTTTTTTGGTGCGCTGACTTTGGATGACAGTGAAATACTATACCAATAAGTTCCCGAACAAATCTCCGAAAAAAAAAAAATTCTCAAAAATGACTAAAAATACACTCATTTGCCCTAAAATACTTCGCTATCTCCATTTTTTGGTTAAAATTCAGAAAAAATATACTTTTTTGGATTGCCGACTTTGAATGACAGTGAAATACTATACCAATAAGTTCCCGAACAAATCTCCGAAAAAAAAAAAATTCTCAAAAATGACTAAAAATACACTAATTTGCCTTAAAATGCTTAGCTATGTCCATTTTTGTGGTTAAAATTCAGAAAAAAATATACTTTTTTGGTGCGGCGACTTTTGATGACAGTGAAATACTGAACCAATAAGTTCCCGAACAAATCTCCAAAAACAAATTTATCTCAAAAATGACTAAAAATACACTAATTTGCCTTAAAATGCTTAGCTATGTCCATTTTGGTGGTTAAAATTCAGAAAAAATTTACTTTTTTGGTACGCCGACTTTGGATGACAGTGAAAAACCATACCAATAAGTTCCCAAACAAATCTCCGAAAAAAAAAATTCTCAAAAATTACTAAAAATAAACTCATTTGCCCTAAAATTCTTAGCTATCTCAATTTTTGTGGTTAAAATTCAGAAAAAATATACTTTTTTGGTGCGCCAATTTTGGATGACAGTGAAATACTATACCAATAAGTTCCCGAACAAGTGTCCGAAAAATTTTTTTCTCAAAAATGACTAAAAATACACTAATTTGCCTTAAAATGCGTAGCTATGTCCATTTTGGTGGCTAAAATTCAGAAAAAATATACTTTTTTTGGTACACTGACTTTGAATGACAGTGAAATACTATACCAATAAGTTCACGAACAAGTGTCCGAAAAATTTTTTTCTCAAAAATGACTAAAAATACACTCATTTGCCTTAAAATACTTAGCTATGTCCATTTTGGTGGCTAAAATTCAGAAAAAATATACTTTTTTTGGTACACTGACTTTGAATGACAGTGAAATACTATACCAATAAGTTCCCGAACAAGTGTCCGAAAAATTTTTTTCTCAAAAATGACTAAAAATACACTAATTTGCCTTAAAATGCGTAGCTATGTCCATTTTGGTGGCTAAAATTCAGAAAAAATATACTTTTTTTGGTACACTGACTTTGAATGACAGTGAAATACTATACCAATAAGTTCACGAACAAGTGTCCGAAAAATTTTTTTCTCAAAAATGACTAAAAATACACTAATTTGCCTTAAAATACTTAGCTATGTCCATTTTTGAGGTTAAAATTCAGAAAGAAATACTTATTTGGTATGCCAACTTTTGATCACAGTTAAATACTCATTTGACTTAAAATATAGTAAAACAGTGACATGCAGTCAGGGGAGACAGGGGATACAGTGCCTGGGTCACATGAGGCTTGCCAGATTCTGTTCCTTAGCCAATAAAGTGGAGAGAAAATTCAGCAGGGGAGGCAAACAGTGCTCTGCCGTTATGTTTCTAACCAAACATAATAACAATAAAGACTATTCTATCAAGGGGTCGTACGTAAACAGAAAAGTGCTTTCCAACAGGAAATTGAAAGTCGGCGCCAAGCTAGAGCCAGTGGTAGGTCAAGGTCAGTGTTTTTTATGCTCTGCCTGATCCAACTCACTATGGGTTTTATTTCAAATCTAACAATAGGACAAATATGTTCCCATGTATATGTTTGAGTTGGTGTAAGTGTCACCAAGAGGAATGCGATATGGGATATGAAGCGTTACCAGTTGCATGCTGTTGGATGTACTCGTAGTACTCCTAAACTATTCCTAAACTACGGCATTTCCGCTATGAACTCATACTTGGTCTACTCTACTTGTTTTTTGCAATTTTTTGAGTAGAGTTGAGTCGTCACAGAGAACAGAAGAAAGAATAAAATAAATCTGTAAAACTGCTGTAAAGTGCAGTATTAGGACTGAGAAGGCTGCTGTTAACAGGCACCAGTAGAAAGCCACAGTGAGGAGGACAGATGCCTGTAAAAAAGTCAACACTTTTAAAATGCTTAACACCCAAAATCAAGCCAAATATTAAACAGAAAACATGCTTGAAATCAATGTAAAATCCAATCCCAGTGGGATTAGAATGCCATTAGAAACAGCAGTGTGACAGAAACAAGACAATTAATTCACTGCAAGATGATTCTTTATTTAAAAAGTAAACCTAGAACTAAAATGAAGTGGGGGGAAAAACACGAGGAGATTCAAAAATTATTCCAACTTCCTCATCCTGTGGCTTTCAGATCAATTCAAACTAAATAAAATCACCTGGAGTCTGTTGCGTGGCATATAAAAACGAAAGACATCTGTCAGAGTGTTAACAGACATCAGGTCTCCACTGATGTCATTGTCATCACTGTGATCACAGATGCTGCGTCAGCACAGTTTCTCCACCACAAAGGCCAGAATGGCCACGGCCAGAGTGAGTCCAATTCCCAGCATCTTCACTGTTTCCCTGTCCAGACTGTAGGAACCAAATGACCAAAGGGATGGAGCAGAAACAGGCGGAGGGCCGTGGATTCCATTGGCAATGTGGGACTATGGGGAAAGGAAAAATTAAAAAGGTTTAATCTAAGTGCTGTTGCTGACATATTTAATATTAAAGAAAACAAAAGTAAAGTTTTCTGATATGGTTTTGGGAAAAAGGAGGCTAAGGAAGTGTTAGTCACCACAAGCGAATCTTAGCATCTCAGCTCCTAGCAATAATCATGTCAATAAAAAAAATAAATATTGTCTAAGATCAGTTCAATTACTTGCAGATAGAATAATAAATGACAATGGCAGGAGAGACAACAGTGTTCAAGTGTTAGGCTAGTTTCAGAAGTAACTATTTGTGATCCTATTTAGAGGAAAACAGACAGTAAAATGTGTCCAAAAAAGAAGCTTTGCTGCAGGCGACTTCAGTGAGTATCACCAGCAAGGAGGATTTGCTCAAGTATCCACCCATATACTGCCCTGTCCAGGTGTGTTTTATAGAAAAATTCGCTCTAAATTGGATTTACATAATTTAGATGTTTTATTGGATAAATTAGTGTGACTGCTAATCATTAAGGAATCTTTTTTTTAGTTCTTAACTCAAACTCTTGGAGCAGTTCATTTATGAATCAGTGACGTTAATCGTTATAATATGATACTATATTACAGTACGTATACAATTACAAAGTGAGTACATCTGCAATATTTAAATACCACAACTATAAAAGAACAAAGTTGAATCGAACCCACAAATATTTTTTTTTTCTCTTCTGTGCATGTTTTTCCCATCTGTTTTCTTTTCACAGTCTGGAAATTAACAGCACAGCAGTGAACTGGTGTCTGAATTGGCTGCTTATTTTAACATTTTGGGATGAAAATATTCATAAATCCAGACACTTTATTGCACAGTTGCGCGTTTATCATTTATGAAGCCATTATAGCTGTGTTAAAGCGGTAAATATGCGTTAGTCATCCGTTTATTACAGAGTGATGTGACGTAAATCAACAAAAATGTGTCCAACGCGAGCAGCTGGAGGAGAGCGCTCACAGACAGGCCGACATTTTCTCACTTATCGACCACTTTAATATTATTCACTTGGCAACATTGAATATTGATAAGCAGCTCTATTCCTCCACAGCCTGCGCTATCCTTCATTGATCATCATTTCGTCCAATTACACATTTATTTTGTTTTTATCTTAATCTCCGTGAGCACACACCACTGCTGCGATTCCGATTGATCCCTAAATAAATAATTCTACACAAGACGAGGGCTTTTTTATAATTTCAGCATTAAACAAATTAGACGAGAAAACCAACACTTGTCAACATCTCCAAGGTGGAGTGGAAATCAATCCTGTGACCTTGTGGTGGTTTCCTACATTTCTGCCTCCTCCTGCATGACAACCTATAAAATGTCTTATCACCACAGAAGGAAGGTATGCAGGATGATATTGAGCAATTGATCAGCGGCTTTCTAGGGTGACCTTTCATCAAGTTCACTGGGGATAAGTCAGAGACGTTTGTCTTTGATATTTACCAACGGTAGACAGACTCCTCTGTCTCTCTGTGAATCTGTTTCTTCTCTCACATGATTCACCATCCAAACCATTTTAACCAGATGAGATTTGCATGTCCTGGTAGATGCCAAATTGCATTGAATTTCTCAATATCAAGGAAGTCTAATGAGAATTTAAGTTTAAGAAAAAGTTTCAAAAGTCAATTAAGAAGCAAAGGACTGCAACTCTACAAAAGGGGGCGCTGGAGAACACATTGGCAACCAATCAGCTAATTTATTCTTTAGATTTAATTTTTGTTGGCTGTATGGGCACAATAATAGTCCTAAAATATGAAGTAATTCTACTGACAACGCAGAACAACGTGTCTTGTGTGGCAATCATTAAAACAGTTCCTAGAGTAAAACTCAGCGATCATTTACAAAAGTTGTACTTTTACACTAATTTTAAATGATATGCGTCCCCTGCTGCACCTGTGACCGAGGTGTTGAGTAAAAAAAAAGTGACAGATTTTGTGGAGCACAAACACCTACCTGTGTGCGCCTTACTTCTGCTCATGTGCGACAGAGTCAGCGCACACCTACACGTGTCTCCTGCACATGGCTGTGTGAGCGAGCAGCTGTGCGGTGTGTGCACTCTGCAGCTCTATCCCTCACGTTACTCCCGCTCCCTTCGGTGGTGAACAGTGCCTCGCCACCCACTCGTTTCCTCGCCCTCGCCACTGAATGGTTTCCTCTGTTACCGCGCACAATGGCGGATAGATACTATGACCGTCAACGCCTATGTGACACATCCATAGGTCATTACAGTAACATCAGACAATAGGTAAAGGGAGACTCGGTAACAGAGGTCTGGTGGATGCGTCCACATTTGCCTAATGTTAGTATCATTGTTGGGTTTCCTAATGGGAAAACTGATACAGTGGTGTTTGTTGATGTGCTGAAGCTGGAGAAACAATGAGGCTTCTTTCAGTCAGAGTGTATGGTGGCAGTCAGGTCAGGTCACATTCAGAGTCACATGTACTGTACTGTCATGTACTGTACTGTCTACCTGTCACTGAGACACAGTGACTGTAAGTCATGCGATGCGCTTTTCAGCAACACTATATGTTGATAGGAATATCTCTGAAGCTTCTGCACCGATTTTTGACCCAGGCACTATTTCAGCTTCTTCTCAGCAGCCTCTTCTGCTGGAAAATATTTCAACTCATTTTTTCCCAGCTTCAATCCACAACCACCACCTGCAAATGATATGTCTTTGTCCAATTCTTATATAAAGTCAAAGGTTTTTGCACACAAAGGGCATTCATCCTGGTTGAAGCTTTGCCTTTTAAAATGTATTCCGTAAAAGGCCACCAAGACAACTGTCTGCTAACAGGTTTTTGTCTTTCAGCGCACTTATCACCAAGAATGAAGTGAAAAACAATGAATACTTGAGTACAATCAAGCCATTAGCATTGATTCATGTTTCTTCAACAAGAGAATGAACTTTTATTGTAAACCGAGATAAAAGAAGGGGGAAAGCTGAGAGTCAGAGACGATACAGAAAAAAAAGTTGAGCAAGTTGAATCTACTTATCTGTCTCTCTGCAGGTGTCTTTATCAACAGGGGGCAGGACAGAGACTGAATAGTACAGTCTGAAATCTATTACTAGTAGGGAGGATAAGTGAAAATCCAAGTGCCAGTAAGTGCATGTCAGCACAGTGGGAGATAAAGGAGAAGAGGAGGCTGGGAGAGGGGTGAAAACAGGGGAAAAAATTATCAGAGTGAGGGGGGAAAAGTGGAGAGGAAGAAAAGGGAAGAGGAGGAGATGAGAGATGTGGCTTTCAGTGATCACCACCTGAAAGCTGGCGTGGGTTCCTGCATATGTCTGTGAAAGAGCAAAATTGCCGTTCTTGTGTATGTGTGTGTATGTGTGTGTACATGTGAAGAGGCCTGTGGTGGATAATGTCTGTCTTTCTGCTCACAGCAGTAGAAAAGTCAAAGTAATTCTCTTGAAATTCATCTAACACTACACCAGGGGTACGGTGAGGTGAGCACAGCAAGACACTTTTTCTTCACAGTTTTTCAGGCCTGCTCTCAGAAAAATTCCTGCTTTCTCTTCTGCTTTTTTTTTTCTAATTTTCATCTTTCACTCAAACACACACTGAAACACGCACACACACACACACACAACGAACCACAAAAGCCAGAAAGTACAATGTACAGTGGTCACATTTCTCACATGATCCTCAGCAGCTGTCAGTGCTCCTCACAGACACACAGGGATCTTTGGAAACCATGTGTTTGAATGTGTGTGTGTGTGTGTGTACGTGTGTGTGTGTATACAGATAGAGTGACAGCCTCCTTAGTCACGGGTAATCTGACAAAGCCGTGGTGACAGTAACAATGAGCTGCAGCTGTATTTACAACTCTGGAAAAAGGACGAGAGAGAAACTAAAGAGCGATTACACGTAATATTCCAACAGAGATAAATGTCCCTGTCGGAGCAAACACTGTCAACGACTGCAACACTGATTGTCCCAGAGCAAATTTGTAGGTGGAGGCTTCAGTAAACACCACAAAAGCCAACCTGACTCATGTTCACTCCGTCTCTCTCTCTCTCTCTCTCTCTCCGTCTCCTCCAACGTCTAAAATTTCCACCAGCAGCCAAACTGTACAAACATTCACTCACAAACAATGTCTGAAAACAAGCAGGTGGATCAGTTGTTAGAGAAATACACAATGTTTTGATCCAACACTCCTGTGACTCACAAACACATGGGAATTATGATTTTAATTATTTTATCATTTTTCTCAGAATAGAGAGGAGATAGTTATACTGTTGCACTTCTGTGTGCAATCCTTGAAAGGTGAGTGATGCAGTGACGTGAGGATTCTATAGGTGCAACGTCACAGACGGTCATTTTGGATAGAAAAGCACCACAATAACAATCAGATCAACCCCATCAGATCTGAGCAACCACAACAACCAACGTGGGATGCTGAACAGATTCTAACTGCGACTTATTCGCAGTATAGTCCAGAGGTCACGGCTCCTGCTAAAGAGTCCAGGTAAATTATCAGAAGGAAAAATCGGCGTGCAGCTGGTGTGTGTCAGACATGCTCTCTGTGTGAACACCAGCGCTGTGTGTGTGTGTGAGACGCTGGAGTTCAGTGACGTAGGCGTCACACACTGCACGTGCGCTGGACAAGCTTGACGTGACAGGGACGAGGGCCCGGGTTCTCTGAGACAACTGAGAAAGGTACACTGACATAACAGGGTCGCACGTGTAAAGGCACACAGATTCTGTGAGGGCATTTGGTTTCAAAAGCCGACGGTGACTTCAGAGAGCCACAATAGAAGCCTGTGATGAAGAGAAAGGCTTTGAAGTCCTTAAAGAAACGTATGATGAAAGAATATGTTTTATTTGTGTAAAGGGCAGTTAGTAATAATGAAGTAAAAATGAAATTAATCAGGTTCCATTTTTGACACATTCCTACCCAAAGGCAGAACGAAGAACACAGTATCAGCACTAATTCCACCGCTCATCCACTTATGGTTCTC